TGGAGAGTGCCCTGAAGTGCAACATCTACACATTTCTTGAACGCTGCCAGGGATGGTGACTCCACCAGCTCCCTGGGCAGCTGCTCCAGTCCCTGACCACTCTTTCAGTATATAAACTCTTCCTGATGTACAAACTAAACCTCCCTTGCTGCAGCTTCTGGCCATTTCTTCTTGTCCCATCTTCGTTTACTTAGGTGAAAAGGCCAACACCCACCTCCCCACAACCTCCTTCCAGAGAGCTGTAGAGAGCATCCATCCTCCTGATGGACCTCACACTGTTGCTGCAGGCACCTTCTCTCCATCCTTACCTCCACCAAGGACCTTACTGATGCTGTTGGTATCTTGTTTCCATCCCTACTTCCCTGAAGAGCCCTGGACTGCTGCTGCAGCCCATCTCCACCTTCTCTGAGCTCCCCAAACCCAACCCATCACCTCTTCTTTACCCGCTGGCTCATGGTGGGACACCCTATGAGGAGTCAAGGCAGCGGCAAAGTGAGGAACCAGGGGAGATGAAGCCTCTCCCAAATGGACACCATATGGCATCTGTGTGTCCCCAGGTCTGTAAATGGTTCTGTCATGCTGGGCCAGCTGCCGTGGCAGCAAACACACAGGAAACGTCCCAGATAACTCCCCCCACCAAAAATGGTCCCACTTAACCCCTTGGGGGTGTTTGACTCCCTCTTCCCTTCTCCACACACCGACATGCTGGTCCCTTAGAAACATCTCTGTGCTGCAAACACGCCTGCTTGGGTTTTTTTTCTTTTTTTCTTTTTTTCTTTTTTTTTTGGGGGGGGGAAGGGAGGAGCTTTTTGTGTTTTTTTAAGGCATTTGGGGGTTTTTTTGGGTCTACTCTAGTTGGAGCCTGGTACATCCCTCCCCAGCCCAGAATGTTTGTGCTGATGTTCAACCTGTCCCAGCAGCAGTTTGAAGGAGCTGACAATGTCCCCACCCAAAACCTGACCACAGCTTCCCCAGGTTGCAGCATTTTGTATATATTTTTTTTTACATTTTAAAAGCATTTCTCACCCTCTCCTGCCCTGAGGGGCACTGCAGAGGTGTCTCCCAGTGGCCCCAGCAGCTCCACCAGTGCCAGTCCCCTGATTTCGGGGGGATGTTTACAGCTTTCGGTCAGCAAATACCACTTTTTCCCCTGCAAACTCCAGTTTCCCCCACCGCAAATCCCAATTTTAACCTGCATCCCTCACCCTTCATCTGCATCCTGCACACCCTGCACCTGCAGCTTGCACCCTGGATCCCACTTCTTGCATCCTGGAGCTGCCCCCTTCTCCCTGCACCCCAAAGCATTGAATCATATAATATAGAATCGAGTGGTTTTGATTAGAAGGGACTTTAGAGACCCTCCAGTTCCTGCATGGGCAGGGACACCTCCCACTAGACCAGATTGCTTAAGGCTCCATCCAACCTACCCTTGAACACTTCCAAGGATGGGGCTTCCATAGCTTCTCCAGGCAACCAGTTCCAGTGTTTCACCACCCTCATGGCGAAGAACTTCTTCCTAACGTCTGATCTGAATCTACCCACCTCTAGTTTTGATCCATTCCCCCTAGTCCTACCACTACCTGACATCCTAAAAGGTCCCTCCCCAGCTTTCTTGTAGGCCTCCTTCAGATACTGGGAGGCCACAATGAAGTCTCCTTGGAGCCTTCTCTTCTCCAGACTGAACAACCCCAACTCTGTCTCTATTGAAGAGATGCTCCAGCCTTCAGATCCTTCGTGGCCCTTCTTCAGACGTCCCAGTTGCTGTTGCATCCTACACCCACATCCCAAATCCTGCACCTGCACCACCAATCACTGGAGACCCCCACTGCACCCTGGGACCCTCTATAAGCTCAGCCCAGGGTTCTTGCTGGGCCAAACTGGGCTACACTGTGCTGTGAACCCTATAGATGCCTCCTGGCTGCACCTCACTCCTCACAGGGCAAAAGTTTAATTGCAATTAAAAACATTTGCAAGGTGAGATTGGCCTCATCCAGCCAGTCCTTCCAGCTCCTTCCAAGTGCCAGCCGAGCTCTTCTCTAGAGCAGGTGGGACATGGGAGGGCAGCATTCCCAACCCGGCCAGGATGGAGGGGGGTTCCCCCCCGGCGGGGGCTCAGGCCCCTCCCCACATCTGGCAGGCAGCTGTGGCCACACGCCCGGGCTCTGCCTCCCAGATGGGGGATGCACCAAAAATCCCTCTAAGGGATTTGAAAGCTGGAATTTTTTCCTTGGAAATCTGCATTTCCTGGCTCATTGCAGGCTCTTCCCATCTCCAGAGGTGCATAGCCAGGCCCATGCCTTGATTCTCCTGGGCTGGACCATCCCTTGTCCCAAGCGTCCATCCCGTGTCTGCACTCTCAGACTTGCTTGTGCATCCCTGTGCCACAAATTTCATGTCTGCATCCCAAATCCTACTTCTGCATCCTATGCCCCTTAGCTAGCATCCTTTGTCTGCAGCTTAAATCCTATTTCCCATGGGATCCTGTATCCCACCTCTGTATCCCAAATCCTGCTTCAGCATCTGTCCCAAATCCTGCATCTGCCCTTTCAACCCATGCCCTGCATCCATGTCCTGTCTTTGGAAACCTGCCCCTGCATCCTAAATCCTCCATCCTGCATCCCAAATCACTCATTCTGTATCCTAAATCCCACTTCTGTATCCCCTATCATGTGTTCTGCATCCATGTCCTGTGTCACACAGAATCACCTGAGACCTGAATCTTCCAACCCACATCCCTAGTGCATCCCAAATCCTGCTTCTATAGCCTGAATTCTCCATTCTGCATCTACATCCTAAATCTTATGTCCTACCTCTGCATCCTGCCTCTTAATCCTAAATCCTCCATCCCACATCTACATCCTGAATCCTGCATCCCATATCCTAAATCCTACCTCCCACATCTGTATCCTCATCCCACATCCTCCATCTCCATCCCAAATCCTGCATCTCACCTCTGCAGCCTGAATCCTGCCATCCTGCATCTATATCCTGTGTCCCAAGTCACATATGCATCCCTCATATCTATCCTAAACCCTCCATCCCAAATTTGCATCCTGGATCCTCCACCCTGTGTCCTGCCTCTGCATCCCAAATCTTGAATCCTCCACCTTGCATATATATCCTAAATCCTGCATCTGCATCCTGAATCCTCCATCCCACACTCTGCACCTATATCCCAAATCCTATATCCCACCTGCAATCCCCATCCCCAATCTCCATCTGCATCCTCCATCCTAAACCTGCATCCTGAACTCTCCATCTTGCATCCCTTATCTTCATCCTGCATCCTGGATTTCCATCCCAAACCCTCAATCCCACCCTGCACCCTCTTCCCTCCATCCATCCCCACATATCCCAAACCTGAGCACCATGAATCTGTGATGAGGATCAGAGGGGCAGGGGGGGCCCAGGCGCCCGCGCCGGGAATAATGTTGATTTAAGGAATTTGGCACGGTCCGGTGCCTCTCTGAGAGTGCGTTGTCCCCAGCCCGGCCACACAATGGCTGCTTTCAGGCACCCGCCTCCATTAGGTCAGGAAAGAAAACCTTTTTCCCCAAAAAAAAATTGCCCCTCCATGTGGAAAATAATCTTCCCCACTGGAGCAAAAAAACCCCACCACTATCCAAAAATTGAGGTGGAAAATAATTGGTGTAATGGAGGTTGGTTAACACACAAGACCAGGGTGGAGCATGATGCATGAAGCACCCTGGTGGAGACATGCCCCATGACACCCCCACCAATAACCTAATCAATGAATAATCTTTAAAAATATTAATTAATCATTGTAATTTCCCCTCACACCCTGCAAAATTTTCCCCTCCCATTCCTGCAATGAGTTGTGTCCAGCCTCTCCCTCTCTCCAAAAATCCCCTCCCCATTCCCAAAGCCTCTCCCCCCCCGAAATATAAATTCCTGGGGGGAGTGAACCAGAAAAACCCATTTTCAGCCTAATTATCCCCCCCTTCCCCAGCCAGGACAATTAAAGTAGCTTAATCCTGCTTGAAAAGGTCGGAGGCGGCAACTTCCCACTTCCCCCTCACCCACCGCCCTAGAAAGATGCAATTAAAAAATCGCTGCTAATTGCTTTGCCCGAGGAGGGGGGGTGTCTCACCAGGAGGGGTTTAAAACAAAAACCTAGGGAAAGGGAGAATTAAAAAAAAAAAAAAAAAAAAAAGAGGGAGAACCAATTTAAAAGAGTATTTTCTACCCCAAAAACTGCTGCTGGGGTTTGGGAAGAGATTGGAGTGGGTGGGGTTTTTTTTGGAGGGTGGTATTTTTTTTCTGGGGGGGTTGGGGGGGACAGACACGGGTGGGAGTCCTCCCCTCAGGGTTAATCCCCACTCCCCTCTCGCGCTCCAGCGCTAACAAGCCCTGGCAGCTCTTGGCTCGTTAGCCCTGTCAAAAAGCAATTAGAGAGGTTGTTTAAAATATTATTTTCTACCCCAAAAACTGCTGCTGGGGTTTGGGAAGAGATTGGAGTGGGTGGGGTTTTTTTTGGAGGGTGGTATTTTTTTTCTGGGGGGGTTGGGGGGGACAGACACGGGTGGGAGTCCTCCCCTCAGGGTTAATCCCCACTCCCCTCTCGCGCTCCAGCGCTAACAAGCCCTGGCAGCTCTTGGCTCGTTAGCCCTGTCAAAAAGCAATTAGAGAGGTTGGGTAATGAGGGCAAGGCAGAACGGGGGTGTGTGTGTGGGGTCAGCCCCCAAACTCTGGGAGGGGGTGGTTAACAGGTTGGTTTAGGGCTGCATGGCTCAGTGGAGATCCCAGAGCTGGCTGAGGAAGGCTGTGCCATCAGTGGGCTTCAGAGTGAACAGCATCAGGAGGTTTCAGTGTGAACCAGACCTGCCCTGTCAGGCTCTCCCAACCCCAACAAGTGGAGCCACTTTGTTCCCCCCAGGGCTTTATTGAACCTTTAAAATGAGAAGTGTGCAGTTGGTGGGTCGCCTTTGTGGCGAGGAGGAGGATGAGGAGATGAAGGAAGAGGAGGCAGGGTGCAGGGCTCATGTGGCAGGCAGCCAGACCTTCTGAGTGCTGATGATGTCGCTGAGCTTGCCCTTGATCTTCAGGAAATGCCTCTTGAACTCCAGGCCATCGCCCTACAGGGGAGAGGTGGGGGGTGGCAGGGGGCCCTCCCGACGTCCAGGAGGGAACCCCCTTACATGGTCCTGGACCACCCTGCACAGTTCTGCACCACCTTGTACCCACCTTGCACGGTTCTGCACCACCTTGCACACACCTTTGCTGGTCCTGCACCACCTTGTATAGTCTTGCAAGACCCTGCACCACCTCACCCCCACTGCGCCCACCCGTGCCCCCCTCCCTCCCCGTTCACCTTGGAGAGGCGAAAGTCCACCAGAATCCTGCTCTCCATCTCCACCAGGTTCACCTTGAAGATGAGCTGGTTGTTCCTCCTGTCTGTGGTCGAGATGGTGACCTGCAAAGCGGCAGCAAAGGGGGGGAGGGGATGGGAGGTCCCCGAATTATTAGCAGCATGATGGCGTGGGGGGGAGAGGTGTCATTGGACACCCCAAACTGGGTCCTGCCCCCCACCTGGTTGGTGCAGGACTTCTTCCAGCCGTAGCCCATCTTCTCGCAGGCCTCCCGCAGGGCGCGGTACGAGCCCTCGGCGTCCAGTTTGGTGAAGAACCGCGTCATCCGCTTCACCAGCCGCTGCCACCGGCTCTGCCGCCCCGCACGGAGGGCAGAGCCCCCCGAAACCTCCCAGAGCCCCCGCCACCTC